CCCCAAAACCCCAAAACCCCAAAACCCCAAAACCCCAAAACCCCAAAACCCCAAAACCCCATTTGTTTACACTATTATTGAATATAACTTTGCAAATAATGGATTACAGACAATCAGTAGACAAGAAGTAAGGGTTTCAGGCTTAATAATTGATAATTTAGGCAGATAAATCTAGATAACAATCCAGCCTCAAAGCACACCCTCTTCGTGAACAGCTCCTTTGAAATGTCCAGAGGTGACCATGAACGGAGGAATAAGTTAATACAGGCTATTCAGGAAAAATAAAAAAAAAGATAAGGAGAAAAGTAAAAGAAAAGCATTAAAAGCGAAAATAATCGCTCAGCAGAAACTTCAGGAAAAGATTAACTCAAAGCCTGATACCTTCAAGACTGTCTTTGAGAAGAATATGAATAATATCAAAGATTCTATGGCTGAAGAACTCAAGTCAAGCTATGCTTACAGTGCAGCTGATAGTCCTGTCTTGATCAGGAAATAACTCCAAGATTTCAGATGGTGAGAATAAGCGCAATATGTTCCGTAACAACATTAATTTTCAGCCTCAAGCTTCTCAGTCAACCATCTTCAGATCAGAAAATCAGAGTCCTAACCAGAGACTTTTTAAGGGAAATATATCAATTAAAAAATTTCTGAACAAGAATCACAGCTTCATGCAGAGATCCTTGGCAGCATCTCCCAAGAACTCTCAGATCTCTAGTGAGGAGCAGATCCCAATCGTGGTGAAGAGCCCCAGTAAAGCATCTGGGCTTGCAGCCAAGATAACCGATCCGGGTGCACAGCCAAACATGATGAAGAAGTTGGTTATCAATTTTTCAGGAAAATCTGTAAACAATCCAGAAGTTAAGTTTCGAAGGAGGGCTCATAAACTTAGCTATGCTAAATTTATCCCCAGAATAAATTTAGAAAAGACTACTTTAAAAGCATTACCTCTGAACAGCAAGACTTTGGCTTCCAAGCCAAGTTTCACAAAGAGCAAGTCTTTGAATCAGTATCAGAATTTTAAATCCCCTAATAGGATAAAGAAGGTACTGTTCAAAGATAAGAAACTGTTGAACAATGGTATCAGAATCAAGCTTTCAAGACAGCCTTCTCCTCAGAGAAGGCTGCGGCCTAAGAGCCGAGGTCATAGTGTCAGAAGACCATTAAGCAAGATGCAATTTTCTAAGTTCAAACGAATTGATTCAGCTCTAAAACTAATGCATCAATCTCTATACGACTTCAAAGGAACTCTAAACACCTGTATCAAAAATACCAACAGAAGTAAGCCTAACTACCACGTTTCCAGCTAACATCATAGGTTTCCGGAAGAACTTCATCTCCTGTAGCACAAAGAAGATTTTCAAGAAGAAGAAGCATAAACCTTTCGAGCCATTTCCCATCGAGGACTACCTAGACCAGTCCATTGACGACCAGTGGGGAATGTAGGCAAATATATTATGTTTTATTCAATAAACTTAAATTCTAATGGGGTTTTGGGGTTTTGGGGTTTTGGGGTTTTGGGGTTTTGGGG